GGCACAGAGGATACACTCACTCACCTTTTTCTTTTTGATGAATGAGTAACTGACTTTAAGAAGCTGTGATCTCAGAGAACAATGGCCCCCAACTCAGCTCAGTGTGAAAACATGCAAGTCACCAGGACATAAGTGACATAAAATAACTGGATTTACAGTAACAGGTCTAGGTCTTAAATAATTCAAGCTAAAATGATCCAAAAATGCCACAGGCAGAGGGAAGTGCCCTGCGTTTCACTTTGCACATGTGCACCATCACTTCCGTTTGTAAAACATGCTCATCTTACAGTAGCAGACTTATTGAAAAGCACACAATAGCCTTCTCCAAAAAGTGTTCAAAGACCTGTTGCTTTATCAGTGTCAACACCATAAATGTCTACACGGTGTTTCTTCTTCTGGAAAGAGATGGGAGTGGTTTCCAGAGTGTGGCCCAGAGGCATCAAGAATTTATTTTTAGGAATTTTCTCTGCTGGGAAGCATATTCCCTCTCTCACCTCCCTCTAAAATTTCATCAAGAAAAATCTCAGAGTTTTTTTTTTTAAATCAAAACTGATTTTACGTCCTTCTGCCAATAACCACATTCCCCTTCGAAGAGGGCTGCTCAAACATGCAGACTGGGCCCTTCAGTGGAAAGCCTGAGCGTGGCCCAGCACCAGGCTCTTGGTGAATTTCGGTCCCCACAAAGGTGATGTCTCTGGTTTTAACCCAGAATCACATTTTGGATCAAAGGGTGGGAGCTGAAGGCAGGCGGTGGCTGTGAGTGTCAGGCTGTGATGGTTGGAAGGAATATGATTTTGCAGAGTTGCTGGAGTGGAAAAATGTATTTCAAAACTTGAAAAGAATCATCACAAACTCCACCAGTGAAGGAGTGCTTTGAAAAGTCTATCCAAAACCAGACAAAAATAAGCAAAGCAAAATTCTTGGAAGCGTCCTAAGGAATGAGCGACGTGCTGGGAACATTTCTTTCTAATGCAAGGTGCCAGCGTGAACGGCCCTGTGTGGACCTCAGCCTCTCCCGGGAGCGTGGGGAGAATTTCCTGGTAAAAGCCACCATGCTGGTGACACAGCACAGTCCGCAGAGCAGGGAACAGCAGAAGGAAGCTGCTCGAGGGACCTCAGCCCCGGGGCCGCGCTCCCCTCCCGGGGCTCTGAGTCCGCACGTGGGGGCGGGCTCTTCTGTGAGGCCAGGGTCCCCGTGCTTGAAGGTGCCCCGATCTGTCTCAAATGGGCACCACGTGCCGACACTTCTTTGGGAGCCGGGTGGATGCATCCTTCTAAGCTGTGATTCCAAGTGTCACAGGACTTAGGTCAGCTGGTCAGCACCTAAACGGGTACTCCAGTCATGCTGCACCCCAGCTCTTCTCAGCCTTGCAAGCTTTCTTGATATCCAACTCGGGCTTCCCTCCACCCACTAAAAAACCCCCAAACCCCAAAAAACCAAAACCCCATGCTCTTGCCAGACCTCACGTGTTTCTCTGCAGGGCAATTTTACCCTCCTCAGAGACAAATCCCATCATGTAACTCCCACCTCAAACCCGTCCCTGGGAAAAGCCCCTCTCTGGGTTTTAGTGATCTGACCCTCACCTCACTTCTCTGCCCCCTGATGCCGCAGCTCCCCCGACCAGGGATGCTGCTGCTGATCCGGAGGGGATGCTGGAAACACGTGGAGACACATTTTGATTGACAGCTGCACAAGGATACATTCACTGTCCACGGCCAGGGATGCTCAGGGTCACGAAATGCTCTCCAGAGACTGAACAAAGTCCAGAGCCCAGGCCCCCAGCCCCACTGGGAACCACTGCCCATCAGCTCTCCAGGCCCTTTGGCAGCACAAGCCCCGCATGCTCACTTGGTCCTGGCCAGGAATGCTTTCTCCTCGCCTTTTCCCACACCTCCCCGGCCCTACTCATCTTGAAGAACGTAAGTACCGCATCCTTGGAGAAGACTCTTCCCTGAGCCCCTAGACTACGTTGTGTCCTGCCATTATAAGCAACACCCGCAGCCCACGGGACACAGCCCGCTGGCAATGAAGCACTGACACACGAAAACTCCTGACCATCAGCTCTGACCGGAAGCCCCCCGAGAGCAAGACAGGCAGCGTGTCTGTCCACTGCGCCTCCAGTGCCTGGCACATCGGAGGTTTGCTGCGATTTTGCTGAGTAAGTTAAGTTCTTCTCAAGATATGTTCCCTCCTCTCTAAACACATTCCCGTTTCCCGGGCTTAACCCTCCTCAAGCTCCCTGGAATGCCTGAGACCTAACTGGGATCCTCGCCTCCAGTTTTTCTTGGACCGTTCACCTTACAAGACAGGACAGATTCCTTCCCTCCAAACTGCTCTGATCATAATTCTCTCCTCGATCTAAGTTCCACTGACTGTCCAATGCCTGCAAATGGAGCCCTGATTTCTTAACATCATTCATCTCCCTCTGCAATCCACTCCCTTCTCCCTGCCCTCCACCTTGGAAGGACAAAATCTCAAGCTCTCCACATCTGCCCAAAAACACCCCCTCTGTTTACCTCCTTCCTCCAGCCCTCCCACATCCCAGTCCCACGTGGACTTTCAGGTTAAGTCTAAATGTTACCTTCTCTAACTAGGCACTAGTAATCCCAAATGAAAGGCATCTCTCTCTCAGTCCTCTGCAATCCAAGAGCACTTTATCTGCACTTTACTTGACAGAGTTCCTCTCTGCCTTGTGTGGAGTAATCCACGTCCCTTGGCAGACTACACACTCTGTGAGGGTGAGACCCACGTTGAGTCATTCGCCCATCACCCTGAGAGTCTGCCACAGTGCCGTGGACGTAAAAATTACACGCACGAACAAGGCTGAGAAGCAACGCCGCCATGGTTTTTGCTGTGTACTTACAGTGAGAATTTAGAAAGTAACTCTGGAATATTCATCCCATCTGCAAGCAGACGTCAACCAATACGAAGCACACGAGAGCCCTCCTGTTGTTCTTTGCCAAATACACTTATTTTTGCAATTTATTTCAGCATGAACAGTTGCACTCGAAAGGTTACTGTTTACAACACAACTGCAAGAAACCTCTATGCTGAAGGCTTAATAAATAGAACGAAATAATGACTCTGATGATGACGGTGGTAACAGTAAAAACTGGGGAAGAAATCACCCTTTTGGCCAGCTGCTGGGCAGATCGCTAACCTGAGGGAAGGAGACGAAGGTGGCGGGAACTAACTTGAAATTTACTTGGTGACATTTCTTAGGTAAACTGCTAACTGTTGGGAGTCTGTCCCCTTTTAAATACAAACAACATTCGTGAACGAATGGATGTGTGATGGAATCTAGGCAGAGGACAGTGATTACACTCACACCATTACACGCTGTGTCCTATACGGTGCTACGTAGTACGTGCTCCACACAGTACATACAGCACAGCATACATTACACAGCGCATGTACCATGCACCATGTAGTACAAATGCTATGTAGTGTTATATATTTTATAGCATACATATTGTAAATACATACTGTGTATTACAGCCATCATAAACTATAAATCACAATCTCAAAGCACATAACCATGACTCGGGACAGAAACCCACCATCTCTGGGGCAGACTGGGGCCACCCTGGCTCCTACTGAAGCAGGCAAGTAAATGACCACCTTGTAAAACCTCTGAGTCCAGAGAGAAGCACTTCATGCATAGTTAGGGACAGTCGACATCGAGGTAAGAGGGTGGGGGCTCTGGAGATGGTACTCGTGGCCCGTCCAGGCTGCCTGCTCTCTCCCCCCGGGGACGAAAGGCTGGGCTCAGATTTCAGAGGACACTTTGAAGCCGTTCTTGGGCTCATCACTCCTTTCCATCACCTGCCCAGCCTGACACCGACACGGCTGCTTTATCACCCAACCGCAGTCAACACGCTCATATTTGTAAGCCCTTATTCACAAAAGAAACGTAATTCAAAAGGCATTAAATTCAGGACGCGTAAAGATGACTGAAGGGAAAGCTCTGGGGTTCAAAGAAAATGACCCCACCGGAGCGCCCCTTTGGGGTGGGGTTGGAAGCAGAAAGTATCACTTTCTGATTTAGAGACTTAGGGCCCCTTGAAGGAAAAGCAGGCCTGTGGAACTGAGGGAACAGGGCACAGGGTGCAATACACTGGCTGCGACACACGTCTTCCCTCACTGTCGGTGCTTAATGGGTTAAAGCGTATCGCTGAGGATGAATCGTGCTTGTCTGAAGCACAAAACACACTGACACAGAAACAAGGCAGCTTGGAAACTTTACATCCTTTGGTTCTCCGAACAGAAAAAGGCCTCGTCTGGGCAACACCTGGAGTAATGTTTCCTGGGGGCTCGTTAGGGATTGGAGGGGGTGAAAGAGGAGCGTTCCTGTCATCCATTTTCGTTTTCTGAGACTAAAAGGTATGTGTCTTTAAGAGGCCACGCTCTGGAAGGATCAAGAAGTGTGAACAGATACAGAACCAGAAACACGTCTCGCACACCCTCTTCCAGGCGCAGGGAAGACTGAAACCAGTCAGGACAGTCAGTCCTCGACAAACCTTAAAACTTTGCTTGAAAAGTGTATGTCAAGGGAAGGAGACGCTTGCGGAAAACTGGGTATAAGATGGAGCCCTGAAGAGCTCCGAGTTACTCAGCAGGCAGGCACGTCTGGCCTGGAAAATGAAAGACCAAGTAACTGTGGAGAATTTCAAACTCACAGACAAGAGGCATCGATGTTCCATTACAGCGTTTTTCTTTAAGATCCTCAACTCTAATGGTTATTAAAAATAAAATTAAAACTCCAAGTACTTAAGCTCTCCAGGCAACTGGAAAGAAAACGGGTTCTCAGAGCCAAAATGGGCGAAACTGACAAGCTATAAACCCGAGACCAGCTCTTCTTAGATTTTAGGTATGTTTTTCTTCTGAAATGTGTTCTTGTGATCTCTGGGTCTGCAGAACTGGGAAAAAAATTGTGAACAACTGGCACCAGGGGGGGCTGCAAAGCTCCCGGGTGATGGTTGAATCATAAAGCAGTTACCGTGTTCCAGCGCCTTCATGGGAAACCAGAAGAGGATGAGGGAGTGGATCAGGGCGTTGATGCAGTGACCCCAGAAAACCTACGGAAAAACAAACCGAAGGAGTCAAGCGCTGCCCACACTCGTGACCTCCGTGCAGCTCAACAAGCCCCTCACTGTCAGGGACGCGGGCGGCGCTGCCCAGCCCCAGGAGGTGGAAAAAGCATTGCCTCACTTTAACATACAAATGACCAGGCCATCTCCAGATACTACTACTTGAGCACAAAGACCCAAACAGACATGCACGTAGACACAGGCCAGTGTGCAATCTACCCACATCCGAAAAATAAACTACAATCCACTCTCTTTAGAATCGAAAGGAAGACAACAAAACTGTACAGTCATCCCGAAAAGGGGTCTTCGGTCAAATTACGAATAAAGAGCCTGACACTGCGCCGTCTGAAAGCATTCCAAACACGTCAGATGTAAATTCTTACCAACAGTCTCGCTCTTCTGTTTTACTCCTTAAAATCCCTCCCATTCAACTTTTTAACTTTTAGAAATTCTTAAAAATGTATTTATTGTTAGAGAAAGTAGTGGGGATTGAACCCAGGACCCTGTGTGTGCTGAGCACGTGCTCCACCACTGAGCTCTACCCTCCCCTCTAGGGTTTTGATTAATATGCACATTGAAAAACTCTCTTCAACCCCTGAAAGGTTAAACAGAAGACCACGAAGTTTAGTTTCTTCCACGCTGTAGTTTTAAAATGCATTTCAGCCATCCTCTTAACCCCTGGGGTGGCGGAGCTACTGAAGGCAGATTTAATTCATTTCAAAATCTACAAACTGTTCTGGGAATGGTCACATAGTTTGCTCTTACGTAGTGGGGGGACAGGAGAAAACAGCGAGAAATTATAAGACCACGCCGTTTTCCCATTTTAAATGTTCACTTTCTTCCTATCTGTTCCCTGCCCTTGGTACCATCCTCCGAACCCCAATCTTCAAGGTCTTAAGCGTCCTCAGCTCTGCTATCTTCCCAATGAGTCCACTCCCCACTCCCCATCTCACACACCCTTTGAGTTCAAACTCTGTAAAACACGGGTTTGCTTTACGTAAATAAAGCAGAATAGGACTGTTTCCCAACCAAAGAGCCGCAGTGAACCAGGGGCTGGTCAGTTAGCCCTCCTGGTCTCCTTGTGCATGGAGCTGCCTCGAACCAATAAGGTCCTTTCTTTCTTCCCTGACTGGACATGTCTAGGACGCTTTCCTAAGTGCGAAGTAGCCCTGAGGGCGACTGCCATAACCCCTGGCTCAGACTGAAGCCTCCCAGAGTTGTTCTCTACGGAGGGCTCCTGTACCCACCCAGCACACGGTGTTCAAACCTCCTGCACGACCACCTGAGACAGAAACAACTCTGCCTTCCCGCCAAGCTGGGTGCCTGCCTTTCCTCCCTCCCAGGGGGGGAGGTGGTGGGGCTCAGCTCTGCCCTCTTAGCTGCAGCTGAAGGGCCGGTGACACCCCAGGCCCACTGGCCACTCCTGACCGCAGGATCCCCGCCCCGGCTGGGCCAGCCCCGCCCCTGACCCCTGTCTCAGGGTGGCCTGCCCCTCGTCTCCTAGATGCTTTCCCTTTCCTGATGCTCCAGACTGAAAACAACACCCCATTGCCCTGATTCCTGTGTTCGCATCTGGCCAACTGTCCTCATTGGCCAGAACCAGGCAGCGACAGCAGGAGGGCTGGGCAAGGCGACAGGGCTGAATGAGGGGTCGGGGAGGCCTGGACCCTAAAGACACCAGGCAGAGGGGACTGCTGGCCATGGGATGCTGGGGGCGCACGCAGAGAAAAGGAAGGGATGGAAGCTTCTTTCCAGTGGGGCAGCTCGAGTCCCCTGGGTCTGCCCTCGGGGGGAGCCCGTGTCCCCACTGAGCCTCTGCACCCTCCCGGGCGGGTACCCACCCACTCTGGAGGATGTGGTCCCCGATGCCCACGCAGTGCACCTTTGTGTTGAAGCCCTCGGCGTTCTGGGTGATTCTGTAGAGCTGTGGGAACCTCAGCATGCTCTCCTGACTGCACGACCTCTCGAAGATGCCCAGCGTGAAGGGGGGCAACGCCGTGAAAATCTGCGGGGAGAACAAACAGCTTTAAGTGGGCCTTTCCTGCTTCTGCAGCTCCCGTGTCTCTGGGCTCCAGAATGATGCCTGGGCCGCGGGTCAAGTCCAAACCTGAGCTTCAGGATTCACCACTCCCTGGACCCCCTCCCTGCAAAGAAAGTCGATGAAAGACCGATCTTAACCGTTGCTTCATCAGCATCAAATGAACACACTGAGCATGAAAAACAACGTCATAAATATGTGATTCGCCAAAAAACCTTGTTAAAATCGAACCGCCTCCCTTTGCAAACAAGCAGTGACGTGGCCTCCCCACCACGTGAGCTCTGTGCGCACGTGGGCAGGATTTACGACTTCCCATCCTGAGATCACACACAAATTTCAGGAAGCACGATGCCCTTCATTCACTTCCTCATTTGACAGATGTTTCTGGGGACTGAATTATGGGCCAGGTACTGTGATCATCGCCAGGCAGAGGGAGATTTGAAAACAAGAAGAAAGAAGGCAAAGCAGGTCCCTGAGCTCTAGGAAGTCCGTCCCAGCGGAGCTGGGGACAGGGCAGCGGGCGACAAGCATGGAAGCAAACACAGAAAACAGAGAACCGCTCCTAGGGGCGAGGATGCAGGAGGAGAGAGCGAGCCAAGGATGCCAGGATCAAAGAGCCTCTGGCCTGTACGGTACTGAACCTGCAGGACTCGGCAGGACGATCAGGGGCGTGGTGAGAGGGGTGCAGAGGGAAGCACCCTCGTGAAACGAGCACCTCTCACAAAGCTTCGGGGCACAAAGGCACACGGTACGTTCGGGGGAAACTTCTAGGACGTGCAGGATGGCGGCTGGCCGGGGACCCGGCACAAGACCGGGATGGGCAGACGGTGCTTCCTAAGATGGCTACTTTTCCCTGTCCTCGAAAGATGTGTGACGTGCTTGCATCTGTGTTCCAGGAAGAGAAGGCGGGGAGGCTGGAGACCAGCGTTTCATCCCAGTCCAGGTGCGTGGTAGACCCGTGGGCCACCTCCTCCCTGGCTGTGCACTGGGTCACTCTCTGCATGAGCACTGAGCAAATCCAGACCCAATAGCCCAGCAGGGGCCCCTGGGAGGGGATGCATGTCTCTGCGAGAACTCAGAAAGCACACCGATGCCTGGAGCCTGAGAGTCTGGCCAGAGAAGTAAGCCTTTTCCCAATCTGTTCCCATGGAGCAACCAGAGGGGCGGTGGGATGAGGCCTGGAAAACCTGCAGGCTCCACCTTCACCCGGAGGCAGAAAGGAGAACCGCCCTGGGATGTCACTGCTCTGCAGGTTTCCAGGAGAAAACAATCACGAGTGGTGGTCCTCGCGTCCCTCACAATAACTCAAGCTACCAGGGTCGTGGCTGGAGGAAGGGGCCCCCACAAACATCTCTGAAGCTCCACAGTACATGAACTCACCCCAGCTGTTCTGGGTAAAGGAGCTCTCTGCACACTGCTCACACAGCCTGCCTTATTCTTCCTTTTCTGTTTTCACTTGACTTCCTCCTTTTACCCACTTCAAACCCGCCCCTCCTCTCCACCCCCAGGCTAACCTCCTACTGTACCCCTCACCTGGCTGGCAGCAGCCCCCACCCACACCTAGGCTGGACATGGAAGCAGTCTTTTTCATGCTCACATAATTCACAGGAGGGAGGAACCACATTTTTCCAACCATCACCGATAAGCAGGCGTTCGCCTTGTTTCCAGGTCTCTGTTCCCACAAACATCATGCCATGAGCGCCAGGAATACATTGTAACACCTATACGTCAGCTTCCACTCCTGTGGGGAGGATTCCTAGACGTGGGGCTGTGGGGTTGGCTTCACCAGACGCTGACCGGCTGTTTCAGAAAAGGTACCCATCGTTCACCTGTCGCTTCACAAAGGCCCACAGTGATGTTTTCCCTGCTTCCCTACCAGTAACAGGTGTGATATTCTATTTCATACTCTCCGGTTTGAAAAATCAAAGATATTAACTCTTACTTTTAAATAAATGTACATTTCCCTGGACTACCAGTGAAAGGGAGCATGTTTTCATTCTATTCGTTGGACGTATGGATTTGGAATTCTGTGAAATGTCCAGTTCTGTCAACTTTTGTAAGAGTTCCTGAGCATGATAGACGGCAACTCTGCCTTTATGTTACAAAATTTCCTCCAAATACATTTTCTGCCTCCTGGCTTTCTTTAGGGTGAACTTGGCCATGTAAAAAGCATTTAGTCTTTATATGGTCAAGAACGGCTTCTGAATGTGCAATCACGGTTATGGAAGTTTTCAGGAGTTTCTGGCAGGATTTTTACAGTTTTACTTTTCAAATTTAAGTCTTAATTTATCTGAAATTAATTTATCTCTGTTGTATCAGGTTGGAGTCCAATTTTTTTTCCATATGAACAGCCAGTTGTGAGAACATAATTAGTTAATCCAAACTTCTCTGCTGTACTAAAACACCGCATTGACATTGACTGCACTCTCACACCCTATAGACCTGGAATCCAGGACTGCAATTTGCTGCTGGGTTTTCTGACTCCTTTGTCTGGTTGTACGTCAGTATCACACTGATTCGGCTACGGCAGCTTCACAGTACGGTCTGGTGTGTGCATAAGTCTACCCCATGACTGCTGTTTTCTGAACTCGCTTTGCATATTTATTCTTAGGTGCCTGTTAATTCCAACTTTAATATCATTTTACACAACCTCCTTCTTTTCCCCCAAAGCAATCATCTGTTGGGATTCTACTTGGAATCACATAAATTTACATATTAATTTTGGGATAGTTGATTCTTTTATGACATTAACTCTTCCCATACAAGGAAACAGTATGATTTTCCATCTGTTCAGACCTTACTTCACATGCTTCAGGAAGATGTGGGGTGCTTTTCATATATCGACTTTACTGCGTAATTTTAATTGCTGTTTTGAAAGGAATTCTCTCTTTGCATTTCTAAGTGCTCACTGTTAAGAGTTTAAAAATAAAGCTAGTGATGGCCAGGACAGGAAAAAGCTATTAGTTTTTATATATTTATTATGGATCTGGTCCTCTTATCAAATTCTCTTATAATTCCAGTGTTCCTTTACTGACATCTTTTGGGTTTTCTAGATATAGTGTCACAGATGGACACATTCACACGGCCACTTTTGTGCACATATTTGTACAAGCACAGAAATAGTTCCTCTTTTTCCTACTATTTGTAATAGTTATTTAATATTCTTGGCAGTTGCTGAAAATTCCAAAACAATGCCAAATTCTATACTGATGGTAGGAATCCATGGCTAATTTCTTATTTAAAATGATGTCGTTTTAGAATTTTACCATTTAAGGCAATACGCTACCTTTTTTTTTTTAAATAAACAGTCTGCATTATAGTTAGTTGACTTATTTCTTTCCTGTATCACTTAGAGTCCTTATTTTGGGAATGACAGTGGAACTGACTCAAAACCTTTTGCAGTGACTACTGACGGGACCATGTTTTTCTTCTTTGTGTGGCTGATACAGTGATACCTAGAAAGTTTCTTAAATTCTGAGTCTCCTGTTTTCATGAGATAAACCCTGCTTTGGCAAATATTCCACCCCCTAATGCACTGCTGCAGCCCATTCGCTGATACCTTGTTTAGAATGTTTACATTTCCCTTTACAAGTGCGGCCGGCCCGGTTCTCTCCTTCAAGTTACTCTGGCTTGCTAAAACTAAGTAGGATAAAATTTCTGAAACAGGTTAAAAAACATTAGAGTTATCTCTTCACTAAAAAAAAATGGATACCATTTAGCTGAAACCCATGTAATCATGGGAGCTTCACTCACTGGTGGCCTCTTTAGTCTCACTCTACCCATAAAAAAAAATGTAGAAATTTGACTAAGGATATAATAAGAATTTAATGGGACGGCACTGATTCATTACTTAAAATTGCTAAATATGACATTATTATTAGAGTAATGGCAAAACTGGAATACGGACTGGCATGGACTAGG